ATATTTTGACAACTGGATTTTTATACATATGACTTTCCTGGTTGTCTCATGTGTTTTGTTTCATGCATTGAAAACATTATTCTGAGAAGGGGTCTGTAGGTCTTACAAGATCGCTAAGGGACCCACAACTCAAAGCAGACTAGGGGGTCCTGAGACTTTCTCCCTGTGTGGCCCCTTCAGTAGGAGGGTACCCCAGGGATGCAAAGGTCTGTCGCACACACCCCTGCTCTGTCTGGCAGAAATGATCACACCTTCTACAGGCCCAGCAGCAGACTTCCTGGGCTCACAGCCCAGTTCTGCTATGTAATAATATTCAATGTGTGGATGGAACGAATCAATGAAATTTGGTGCTTTGGTTCTCTCATTTGTACCTACTTCATAGGACTGTTTCAAGATTAACCAAGTTAATATGTTTAAATTGTTTAGTTCCATACCTGGCAAGTTGTGTGTCCTGTTTGATTTTTCTGATTACTATTTTTCATAATCTTTCTTTCCAAGCCAGAACAGAGCTTCAGAATCCTTCTCAATACAGCATTGCATCTGTCACTAACAACTGATCACAGGTGACTCGAGAGGTGGCAATTATTTGTCAGCCTTGGAATGATTCCATTTATGGGTCTGGGGGAGCTTCTCCATGGTTTTGAGTTACATTACTCTATAAAAACATACACTTTAAAAAATTTCAACCACTGTCCATACTCACCTACTTATTGTCTATATTTTCGAAATAAACTTTTGGCTTGGTAATGATCAGACCAGAAACTAGAGAATTTAGGAGCAAAGGTCACAGGTATTGGGGGGTTGGGGCATTTCTGTAGAGTAGACAAGAGGCTCACTAGTAGAACAGGTGGAATCAGAGAAAGTGATACATTGTGGATGAATCCAGTCATTACATCCAGAAAATTCAGGGCAGGGAATTTGCTGTGGGCAGAGCTGAGTAGGCAGTAGGTTGGCTGTTAGTCCACAGTTCAATCCTGCTCTGGCATTCACACTCCAGGAAGAGTGGGAGAATCCAGGGAAGTCCATTTAGCAATCTAAAGCTCAGTTTTCCTTTCTGTAGAATAGAATAACACTACTGCAAATGCCATGGGCTGCCATGATCTGTGTTGTAGCTGATATGCATAACTTTAAGAACGGTACATGGCACATTCAGGGATATTCAACAAATGCTACTTTCCTTTCCTTTTTCTTACTTTTAAATCATGGGACATTGTTCCAAGACTATAAAGATCCTCTTAAAGTTTCATATCCAAATGGAAACAGCAAATGACTTAACATCACCAAAGAGAATCTGATTCTTCAACTTTTACTGTTGGACAAACTCAAAAATGCATCAGAGAGATGCCTTAAGCATGATGATCAAAAGCCAAGGAGTCACTACAATGAAACACACCTCTCCCTTCTGACTACACCACGCCACTGGAGGTGACCTCATCAAGTCAGGATGGTCAGAATACGTGGTTCTGTCCAAAGGACACCTTGTTTTACATTTCACTTTTCAGCTGCAAATGAGCGCATGTGCTTAATTAACTAGACAGGGCAAGTCAACCATTTGTCACTTTGACGGAGCCCCTTCGTCATCTCAGAAGGGAAAGCCACTGTGTTTATTCGAGGAGTGAAAGTTTGCTATGAAAGCTGAATCTATGATTCTTTTTAGATGCAAGTCTTCTATCTATCTAGTAGAAATTGGGTACTGAAGTGTGTAATTCAATTCTCTTTAATTTTCACTCCTTAATGACAGGCATGTATAAATGATTTCTCCTTATAATTGACTGTGCTGCTAGTGTGTTCATAGCTGATCCCTAATAAAAGGTAACGCAGTGAACATAAATGAGTGCAGATGGAAAGGAAGGGGCCCAGTCTCCTGCCAACCTCTTCTATACTCACTTTCCTAGTCTCCAGCCAGGAGTCAAACAACTTTTTCTACAAAGGAACAGGTATTAAATATTTCGGGCTTTGCAGCCATATGGTCTCTGTTGCGACTATTCACCTCTTCCATTAAAGTCTGAAAACAGCCAAGGACAATGTGCAAACAAATGGGAGTGTCTCTGTTTCAATAAAACTTTATTGACACAGATGGCGGGCCCAACTGCAGGTGCAAGATGTAGTTTGCCGAGCGAGCTTGGCTTCAGGCTAGTGGTTGTTACAGGGGCATCTGAAGAGCAGCAGCAGCGGCGCCACTTGGAGGTTTATTAGAAATGCACATTTCTGAGCCTACGCATACAGAATCAGAAACCAGGAAGACGAGGTTCATCACTCTGTGTTTTACGAAACCTTCGGGTGATTCTGATGCACGACAACAACTGCTTTAGCCTAGGGGACCACATGTCTGATCCAAATAGAATTCCCTCTTACCCAGTTTATAGCTGGAGTTCATTTCAAAAACTTCTCATGCTGAATGCTAATCTTAATGTCTGCAACTGCATCTGTATTTATATATTTGTTCAGTATAAATTATCCACGGAGAATTCCTCAGGGAAAATCAGTTTGCCCATACTTCATTGCTTAGATCATTTGTTCATTTGTTGACTGATTAAAACAATAATCTTGTAAAGCAGATAATCCTTCAGTGCTAAATTCTACAAAGGTGCACATCTTATTACCACACAAATTTGGAGCAAATTATGCATTGTTTGGTGCACAGTCAGAAGATTTTCTTCCAACAGGATTGGACTGACTTCAGACTGCTAAGAAATGGTGACTGCTGTATCCTTCCCTTTCTTCCCTGCTCTGAAAGGGAGATTTTTAATTGATTCTGCCCCTGCTCCAACATCTATATACTTGGTATATGGGGTGGATTGAGGGACAGATCACTCCTGTTATGGTTTCTGGGAGGTAAGACTAGAAGAGGAGTCTCATCTAGACCTGATGAAGAAATGACTCATGACCTGGTGACCCTGGACTTCGGACTGTCTCTCTGGTTGAAAGGAAAAGGTGTGTTTTATATATGGGGAGATCTCAGGTGGCTGGAGAGAAGTATTGTGGAACAGACACCTAGCCAGTTTCCAGAGCTCCTGCTCTTACTTCCTTGAGCAGGGGTGTAACTGGGAAGAGGCTGCCCTGCTAGGGACTCTATTTTCCAGCTCCCTTGCGGCAAGTTGGGGCCATTCACCAATGCAATGTGAGTGGATGTGATGTGGGCCATTTCTGGGCCAAAGTGGCTAAGAAGTAGGTGGACCTTCTCCACTGTCTGCCACTTGCTGTGGATGCCCCCAGCAGCCATATGTGACAGAGCCACAGCAGGGAAGGATTGAGGCTTCTGAATCACATGGAGGAGAGCCACCTGCCAGTGAATCAGTGAATCAGTTTTGATGTGCGTGAGAAGACACTACTGTTACATTAAGCCAGTGAATCAAAGAGTTGTACAAGACTATGACATCAAATTCCTGCCCCTGAACTCTTATCTGATGCCTGGTGGAGAGAAAGTCTTTAGGAAAGATTGTCTGTGGGAGACCTATTCTATTCCCTTTTCTGGGCACTGAAATCTACTTCTGGTTTCAGTCAAACTAGCTGAATACTGATGCCTGCACCAGGCCGCTTTGCATGCATAACCTCTAGAATTACTTTCACTGACTTGCGGGAGGCCATCAGCCTACACTGAGGAATGTTGGCAAAGCATCCCAGGAATTTCGTGTTCTATAGTACAGGTGCCCTCGCCCTCTTCTTTCTTCCTCTACTCACTTACTAGATATGTATTAGCAGCCACTACATCTCATGCACTCTACTGGGGTGTTAGGGTGTGACGAAGACATTACTCTTTTATATAATATCCTCTTTATTTAAACCTGGAGATAGTTCTCTCTAGCACTGTTCCAGGAATACCTGTTTCTCTCTTAAGTGATTGCCTGGATTGAGCTGAGAACCTTCTAAATCTTGTAAGCAATCTTGTTTCCTTCTTTGCATTGTTTGGTAGAAGGCTTAAAGCCAATTTGTGGCCCACTGCTGGCATATTTATAGGTCCCTCTAGCCTACTCTCAATCTTCACTACCCTTGGGGCCTCCTCTTGAGTCTTCTACCCTCCTATTCCCTGTATCCTGACTTTTTTCACATCTTTATTACATTTTATCTGTGTTAGATGCTTCCATAGAAGTCACTTTAATCTTTTTTGGAATATTTATAAATGAAAAGGGAAAAGAACAGAAACAGTTTTCAGCACCATGGAGAGGTCCCTAGCAAAGTGGGCCAAATCTGGACAACAGAAGTGGAGTTGGCTCTGTCTGTGAATGAGAGCCAAGGTGTCATGAAGATGAGCATCTGTCCCACTGAGCACCAGGGATTATTAATACCCAGTAACTCGCTGTTCATTTTGGAAGCTCTATGTTGATTTAATCTCACCTTCTCACAGAGATATCTGCTATTGGTTCTGCATTTTGTGTTCAATTCAAATCAGAGCCCAAGTTTTGGAATGGACTCTGAGCAATCCTTTAATTTATTCTATTTCATATGATATACACCTGCTTGCCTCACATTTGGGGACTACATGATCAGATGATCAATTAATGAACACTTGCTCAAATTTAAATACTAGCTTGGAACTCAAGAAGGCAATTTGGCCCCAACCTGCCTTTCTAAATGTTTTTCCCTATTACTCCCTGAGGCACCAGCGAAACTATTTGGTGTCCTTGGAATATGCCTTGTGATTTCCATCTCTCTATCCTTGTTTCTCTCATTAACTACATCTGGGTTAGGAATAATAGCTTACATTTATTGAGCACTTATCTGCCAGGTGTTTGTAAATCACTCTACTTGTTAACTCATTTAATCCTTGCATTGATTCTATAAGGGACATGCTATATTATTTTTCCCACTTTTACAGATGAGGAAACTAAGGGCAGAGGGTTAAGAGCTAAATTACTTTCATGTCTATATCGCATTTTATCTTTATCTTGCTGTGTTAGATATAGCCATGTAAGCCACCTTTAATGCTTTATGGGGTGTTTAAAAATGAAAAATTAAAAGAGCGAAATAAATTCATTTCCATAAAGAGCTGGAATTTCAACTCACACCACCTTCATCCCCAGCCCAGGCTCTTGGCCACTACAATTTTGGTTCTCAGCTCTGTTTGTACTTTAGTATCTCTCATGGAGCTTTTAAAAAATACAAATGCCCAGGCCCCACTCTAGCCCAATTAAATAAAAATACCTAGGGATGTGGTCAAGACGTTGATATTTTTAAGAACCTCTCTGGACGATTCTAAAGTGCAGCTGGATGAATTCATCGTACTCTTCAGTCCTCCTAGCCTGAAGTACCTCCTCTTCCCAGAGGGTAAGACATCATACTCCCAGCAACTCTCACTTTTTCTGAGCAGAAACAACTCTCCCCTTGCCATAGTGATCTTGATGCCTTACCAAGAGTTTACCTGAAGAATCTTGTAATCCTGACCTAGATCTTCAGAATATGCAGCAGTCAGGGCTTTCCAGTCCTCTGGCTAATTAGATGCTAGGATTTTCCCTGGGATGCACTTCTCTTGCATAATCTGAGTTTTTGCCAGCAAATCTGATGTACTTTTGTTTATGGAGCATAGACTTGAATACCAGAACTGACCTGCATCTTTTCTGGCATTTCTTGGGTTTATTCTCACTATTGCTTAGAAATGTAAGTCCAAGTACAAAGAATAGCAGTTATAGTAAAAGCAATATCTCTAATTCCTTTGTGAGGTAGTGATAAACTCTAAGAAAATCTAATCATGTCATTTACTGGCACAAAATCCTTTACTGCCTGACTCTATCACTTCTGGATAGAGTTCCAATGCATCAACATGGCTATCAGGGTGCTGCATGAGTTCACCCTCATGACCACTCTGGTCTTACCTCTTCCAGACCTATCCCATGGTCTCTCTTCTCTCCCCAGGCATACTGAACATCCATCAGTTCCTTGGACTCATTGAGCTCTTTCTTGACTCTAGACTTTTATATATACTGCTCCTTTTGCCTTAAACATTTCTATCACATCATCTTATCTGGATGCTTAGATCTCAGTTTGGATGTTAATTCTGCTGGGAAGCCATGCAGAGCCCTCTTCTACCCTGGGTTAACACCCTAGCCTCTGCTCTCAGGTTATCCTGGGCTAATCCTCATCACAGCACAAATCACAGAGCTTTGAAATCACCCCTTCACTGTCATCTCACCTGGACCTCACAGTTATTAAAATAAGGACCATGTCCAATTGCTCCCTCTATCACTGATGCTCAGCATCAAAGAGCTTACATCGGTATTTGTGGACTGAATTTTCTGATTTGGGAATATTCTTGGACCATTTTCTCTACCATTTTTGCTTTAGATAGGAGGTAGCATTAGACATTTTTCTCTTGAATTCTACGTATCCTGCAAGATGACATCCTAAAAAATGACAGGTTTTAGACAAACGATTTTAACTCTGAAAGTGATACCAAAATCCTATCTGTCAGTTAGCAGGCTGCAAGGCCATTTGTAGAGTTAACCCATTATTGAGTATATTGAATAATTCCACCTTTCATCAAAAGTTCTGCTTAGATTTCATCTTTATATGTTTTGTCTCCATTTGGAACACTGGGAATAGTCAACAATGGGATATACTCATGCTTGAGGTATTCTTTTTTGTTTGCATTAAAAGGGAATAAAAAAAATTCTCAGCATATGAACACAAGAAAAGGGGTACATAATGTCAAGCTCTTTAATGTACTTTCAAACATCCATCTGAGGTGCAGGATCTGATGAGGTTCTACAATGGAACCTGTTAATACACCATTGCTTGTAAGTAGTAGCCAAGAGAATATTTACACTGTCTTCTAATGAGTGTCGCTTTGTAACAAGCTCATAGCTAGAAGAGGTTGCATTTAGACAGAAATAGAGAGGCAAGGGATATATAAATCTTCCACAGAAAAGTTCTTTAATTGCTGCAAAAATGAACTTAGTCTACACCAGCCCCAAGTTACCATAGCACACACCACTAGCAACTCAAAAGTAACACAACATAAAAACTCATTTATTCGTTTTAGGTTACATAAATGTTTAAAAGAGTTAATCACTATGAACAAAACTAAGTTGACAATCATTATCCTCTCTACGAAGTTAAAAAACACTCAGCTTTTGATTGGCTTTACCCAGTACAAGGACTTCATTTTTCCTCTGCTCTTACCAGAGAGAGAAAACGGAACCATCCTACACTGTTGGTAAGAATGTAAACCGCTGCAGCCACTATGGAAATTAGTATGGAGGTTCCTTAAAAACCTGAAAATAGAGTTACCATGTGATCCAGCAATCTCAGAAAAGACAAAAACTTTAGTTTGAAAAGACATATGCACTCCCATGTGCACAGCAGTACTATTTACAATAGCCAAGATATGGAAGCAACCTAAATGTCCATTGACAGATGAATGGATAAAGAAGATGTGGTATAAATGTGTGTGTGTGATGGAATATTACTCAGCCATAAAAAAGAATGAAACAATGCCATTTGCAGCAACGTGGATAGACCCAGAGATTATTATACTACGTGATGTAAGTCAGACAGAGAAAGATAAATATCATATCACTTATATGTGGAATCTAAAAAAAATGACACAAATGAACTTATTTACAAAACATAAATAGACTCACAGATGTAGAAAACAAAATTCCAGCTACCGAAGGGGAAAGAGGGAGTAGGGATAAATTAGGAATTTAGTATTAACAGATACACACTATCATATATAATACAGATAAACAACAAGGACCTACTGTGGAGCACAGGTAACTATATTCAATATCTAATAATAACCTATAACCACATAACTACAACTTTCAGTTCCTGTAGTCATTATTGTCATTTTTCTATATATAAGGGCTGCTAGTTCAGTAGAGAATTTTTAGAATATACTTGTGGCTTTATTATACTGTTTCACAACCTCACGTGCTTGAAGACTTTTGAAGGGAGCAGGACCTGGTAACATGAGAAATAATCAATTTTCCATTATTTCCTTCTTCACAAAATAGACTCTCATGCCCATATACCCATTTGAACTTTACACACTACCCTAGATTTTAGGGATGGGCTGGTGAGGCATCCTTTGGTGTAGGTATAATGGAATCCTTTTTTTTTTTTTCTACACAGAACACAGCATTGTCAATTCATAATGAAATGAACTGCAGTCAAAGAAAATACATGTTAATCAGGAAGAAAATAAACTGACATGAGCCTGTAGTTAACCACCATGTTTAAATACATTTCAACTTATCAGCACCTTTACCTGGATGCCCTTTCCAGTATAATGAACCTACTATTTCAAATGTTATCTCAAGTCATACAGTAGAATTAAAATGCGGTGACTTAAAATCTCTATCACAAAAGTTTTGGTTGTTTGACTTGAGGGTGGTAGTGAGCATTCTTTGCAGCAGAGTGAGTGGTTGAGAGTAAGGAGAGGGTGAGACATTCAGGTGACAGCAACCATGTGGGTAACAGTGTGTGTGGAAGGCAGTGATATCAAAAAGGCAATTTGATTTGCTTTGCTTTGGCATTGTCTGAAGTGTTTGCATGGAGGTTTTGAAATCTGTTGTCAGGTACTACCTAGGGAGATTTTTGTCTAACTAGAGGGCTCTCAAGGCTGTCTCCTCACTACCAAATTCCAAGTTGACTTACCATCCAATTTCCCACAGCAGATTCCCGCATCGCTGCCTTCTCTAAGTATGTAATTAGCACATCTCAGTTTCAAGAACTCAATCTGGAACTGAGACACACAGCTCAGTTACAACACTATTGTTTGGCCCCTGCCTATGTTTTCAGCCTCCTCCTTCAGATGAACTCAGTGTTCTTTGAGTCTCAGCTACAATGGCTTTCTCAAGTTCTTGATCAAAACCCAAGACTTTCGCCCATGTTGTTCTCTGCCTGGAATGCTCTTCACCCAAGTAGCTTAAATTATACCTCACATCTCAGATCTCTTGTCACTTCTCAGAAGACAAAGCTTCCCAGCCTCCTCCAGATTCTGTGTTATCCCATCCTCTCTGAGGACTGAATCCCTTTGCTTCTGAGTATGTGGTTTCTACTCGAATGTTTTATGTATGATTAAAGTAAGCTCTGCCTCCCCTGCTGAACTATAGGCTCCATGAGAGCAAGGGGCTAACTGTGTTCGTCCTTATGTGACTGAGTGTTTGGCATAATTCCTGGCACACAGTCTATGCTCTGAAAATAACTGTTGAATGAATGGGTGAGTCTTTCTAGCAGAGAAGATCACAAGTCAACAGAAGATTATACTACATTATGGTAAATTATGATAGATATTATCCAGGTGCATGAGGGATGCAGAGGAGGGTATCTGTTAGTTTTGGCTGCAGTGGTTTGAGGGAGGACCTTTGGAGGTGGTGCTATAAGTTGGGTAGTGAAGTCAGAGTCAGGTGGGGTAGGAAAGGAGTATGGAGGGCAGATTTTAATCAGAGTGATTAATTAGGGTCAAGTTAAGAATCTACACTGTGGCAGTATTAAAATTAGGAAATGGTGTGAAAATGATGGGTTTGAAATATATGGGATGTGAATGATGATGG